ATATATATATATATATATATATATATAGTTTGTTCTTTTGTTTTTTTTCTGGTACCATATCCAAGTCACATTGGAATCGAACTTATGACCTGGTGCTTGCCAGGCAGGCACTGTGCCGCTGAGCTAAATCCCAAGCCCCTGTTTACAATTTATAGAAGATAGAAGAAAAAGTCTGGTTTTAATAGACATTAAAAATATAATGAATACAATGTCAAGGATGTAAAGGTTCTGTTAAAACTCAACAATAAAATTTTACTGCTCTTCTTCCCCTAGGAAGACACAAGCATGCTAACAGATGAATGTAGTTTTCCTCACTATGAAAGAAAGTTTTAGAATTTTTCCACCTAACAGTTAATGAAAAGAATAAATTCTTTACAATCTAGGTCAGATTTTCATCCCAAACTCTATCACTGCATTGTGTTCCATGACTGAAGATAGCTAATATCATACTGGAATCATCAAAGTATCACCACATTAGATTGGAAAAATTACTCCAACATGGAACAATATACAATATAACAAGTCAAGAAACATGGGATCTGTTCATACCTAATACAAAAGCATTATTGGTTGAGGTTCAATTTCCTTGATATGAGGAGAAGAAAAGACTCATGTATAGGGGTAAATTTACATACACAGGATAAGTGATTCTTTATGGGGAGGGGGAGGCACAGCTTCCTAGTAGAAGAATGACTACTTTTGCCCATAACATGATTGGTTAGATATCCTGTGGAGAAAAAATAAATAGCAAGTTAAACTGGAAGTAAAATAAGTTATTTTTAAAAGCACAAGTTAAAGATCTTCCCAAAATACAAACTCAACAAGATGGCTTTACTAAAAAGTTCTAAAAAATAGTAAAGTACCCAATAATAATATTTTATAAGGATGGTCAAAACTTAAAAATGAGGAAATTTATGCACCTAATTTTATAAAATAAAAGAAACTTGATACCAAAGTAAAGAATTATGAAAAAGATAAATCAGAAGCCTATTCCATTAATTAACATATGTTGAAAAATTTTATTTTTAAAATATTAGTAAAATGAAACTGCAACACAAGGAAGACATATAATAACCATGCTACATTCATTCCCAGAATACAAGTTTACAAGCATGCCTGTAATCCCAGCAGCCTGGAGGTTGAGGCAGGAAGACTGCCATGAGTTTGAGTATAGCCTGGGCCGCCGAGTGAGTTCAAGGCCTGGTTGAACTACATACTGAGACCCTGTCTCAACAAAAACAAACAAAAATATGTTAAGATTTATTAATATGTTCCATTACAAGAGTACAGATAAAACACTATGAATACCCCAATACACAAAAAATTAATAGTATTGAGCTACTCTTTATAAAAAAGTCAAGGTAGAAATAGAAAAAAACATTACTGCTTAAAAAAACATATATACTAAAATTGCCTATCACAAAATTATAGGTGAAAAATTATACTGTTTGAAATTGGGATCAAAACAATAATTCCTATACTAACATTTTACTCAACGTTTCACTGGCAATGAAATGCCTTCAACCAAAAAAAAATAAATTAAATTACCTAGCATGAAATAGAATATAAAATAAAGAAAGAAATTTAGAATAAAACTAAAAAAATAAACAGAATAAAGTATGTTTAAACATTGTAGAAAATATTATATTTGAAATTTATTTTAAAACTATTAATAAATGGAAATATATTGTACTGGTTGATTGCTTATGTCAACTTGAGAAGTTTAGAAGCATAAATAAACCTGGCTCAGCTATTGGCTCAGCAATTCTACACCTTAGGGTATAGAGGAGCCACCCTAGGGCAGAGAAGCCACCCTAGGGTGGATCATCACCTAGATAATACGAAAGGAAAACGAAGAAGGACAGAGGTACTTCCATTCCTTTTGGAGGAGCTCTAGTCTTCACCTTCAGCTTGGACTTCATCTCCAGGCCTCTAGTGCAGACTGTTCTACTTCCGTCTTGGATCCTTCAGCCTCCCATCACAGACTCATCGGCCTCCTGACTCTTCGGCTTCCACCTTGGATCCTTCAGCCTTCCAACACAGACTCATCGGCCTCCTGGCACGCACTTGCGTGGAACTCTGCAATGAACTCCAGACCCTGCACATTCCTTTGGTCTTCAGTGTGCAGACACCCTCTGCACGCTTCCTCATACAGCTCTCTAGCTGACTGTCATAAGCCAATCTTGTAATTTCTTATACATTTGTACATCTTGTGTTATATCTGTTTCTCCAGTAAAACCCTGACTAATACAGAACTTGGTACTGGGAGTGGCTGTAGAGAAACAGATTATAACGACTGCATTCCTTAATGTCTTTAAGGGTTCCTGGAGTTGGCTCTGCAATTTGATGAGACCTGAAGACACCATGTTCTCTCCTTGCACTTCTGTGGGGAATGGTGATAGTCCTTGGTGTGAACTGCTTAAAATAATACACTGTGTAGATACATCTGATTATCCTGACTTACCACTTGTGAGGTGTCAAGAATTTAGTAATTCCATACATGAAAATTTTGAATTTCTTTGGCAGAGTAGGAAATATAACGATGCTGGCTGGTTGGTCTTGGCCTCACTAGACAAACTTGTAAAGGAAAATAAGAAGCTCAGAGATTTGAAATCCCGTCTCCAGTCACAGATCAGAAATTTAAAAGTTTCTCAGTGTGTCTTGAAGGAAAATCTCCTTTCTTTTAGCCACAAAACTGAGATTGCAGAAACCCAGATACAGTCCCTCATAATTAGATTGGCTGAACTGCAACATAAATTTAACGCTCAGACTCAAAGGGTATCTGAGGCAAAGGTGAAGGCACTGGTCAGAAAAGGTTGGGATCCCATAAATTGGGATGGAGATGTGTGGGAGGATCTTGAGGAGGCTGAGGATGTTGAGTTCCTAGATCTTGATGAGATTATTTTGCCAGAGGAAGAGAGTACCCTACCCCCTGTGGCAAAGGCATTGCCGCCTCTACCTCTTGCGGTGTTAGTGTCTCCTAGTATGCATGGGGAAGCTAATTCTGTGTCAATCAAGCAGATAATATTGCCACTCCTCAAGACCCACCCTCACCACCCATTTTTGCCTCTAGGCCCATAACTAGGCTCAAATCTCATAAGGCTCCTAAGGGTGATATACATAGTGTGACCCATGAGGAGGTCTGCTATTCTCCTAAAGAACTTTTTGAGTTTTCTAACTCTTATAAGCAGAGGCCTAATGAGCAAGTGTGGGAATGGATTTTACTAGTGTGGGATAATAGTGGAAAAAACATGCACCTGGATGAGGCAGAGTTTGTTGATATGGGCCCAGGAAGTAGGGATTCTGAATTTAATGCTGCAGCTCACCGAGTAAAGAAAGGTTTTAATAGTTTATTTGGCTGGTTGGCAGAAGTATGGCCCAAAATATGGCCCATTGTGAATGAGCTAGAGTTGCCTGATAATCCATGGTTTACTATTAATGAAGGGACTCAGAGGCTTAGGGAAATGGGAATGGTAGATTGGCTCTCTCATGTTAAACCTAATCCTCCACATTGGGATGATCCAAAAAATATACCCTTCACTAACACTTTGAGAAACAGATTTGTGAGGGGAGCACCAGCATTCCTCGAGAGCTCTGTCATTGCTCTTCTCTGTATGCCAGACCTTACAGTGGGTGCTGCGGTTACTCAATTAGAAAATTTAAGGTCAATGGGCTTGACTGGACCCTGGAGTAGAAGAGGTCAAGTGGCAGCACTTAATCATCAAAGGCCGGGTCCACGCACTTACTATAATGGACAGCAGAAGCAGAACAATGATGAGAATAATCTGACAAGTGCAGACCTATGGTATTGGCTAATTAGCCACGCTGTTCCCAGAAGTGAAATACATAGGAAACCTACAAAATTTCTACTAGATTTATATAATCAAAAAAATTTCAAGGCAAAAGAACAGAAACCTACTTCAAAGCGTGGTAACGGGAAATCACGGCCTCTCAACCAGTTCCCAGATTTGAGCCAATTTACAGACCCAGAACACCTTGCATGATGGGGAGGCCAGGTCCCCTTGGGGAAGGATCCTGATGCCCCCAAAATTTATACAGTTAGACTTTCTCCCATCCTTCCCCAAAGGGACCTAAGGCCCTTTGCTCGAGTGACTATACATTGGGGAAAGGGGGATGATCAGACATTTCAGGGACTACTAGACACTGGTTCTGAACTAACACTGATTCCAGGGGATCCAAAACATCACTGTGGCCCTCCAGTAAGAGTAGAGACCTATGGAGGTCAGGTGATCAATGGAGTTTTAGCAAAAGTCTGACTCACAGTGGGTCCAATAGGTCCTTGGATCCATCCTGTAGTCATTTCCCCTGCTCGAGAATGTATAATTGGGATAGATGTACTTAGTACTTGGCAGAATCTTCACATTCGTTCCTTAACCTATAGTGTGAGGGCTATTATGGTTGGGAAGGCCAAATGGAAGCCATTAGAGCTGCCTTTTTCTGGTAAAATAGTAAACCAAAAGCAATATTGCAACCCTGGAGGGATTTCAGAGATTAGTGCCACCATCAAGGACTTGAAGAATGCAGGGGTGGTGGTCCCCAGCACATCTCCATTTAATTCTCCCAATTTGGCCTGTACAGAAGACAGATGGGTCTTGTACAGTGATGGTGGATTACCATAAACTGAATCAAGTGGTGACTCCAATTGCTGCGGCGGTACCAGATGTGGTTTCCTTGCTTGAGCAGATTAATACATCTCCTGGAGGTTGGTATGCAGCTATTGTTTGGGCAAATGCCTTCTTCTCCATACCTATCCATAAAGATCATCAGAAACAATTTGCCTTCAGCTGGCAAGGCCAACAATACACCTTCACTGTCTTCCCTCAGGGGTACATTAACTCACCAGCCCTGTGTCACAACTTAGTTTGCAGGGATCTTGCTCGCTTTTCTCTCCCACAAGACAACACATTGGTCCATTATATTGATGATGTTATGCTGATTGGGCCCAGTGAGCAGAAGGTAGCAACCACTCTGGATTTGTTAGTAAGCCATTTGAGAGCCAGAGGATGGGAAAGAAATCCAACAAAAATTCAACGTCCTTCTACTTCACTGAAGTTCCTAGGAGTCCAGTTGTTTGGAACATGTAGAGATATTCCTTCTAAGGTAAAAGACAAGTTGTTGCATCTGGCTTCCCCTATGACCAAAAAGGAGGCACAACGCCTAGTGGGCCTATTTGGATTTTGGAGGCAACACATTTCTTACTTAGGTGATTTACTCTGGCCCATTTACCAAGTGACTCGGAAAGCTGCTAATTTTGAGTGGGGCCCAGAACAGGAAAAGGCCCTGCAACAGGTCCAGGCTGCTGTTCAGGCTGCTCTGCCACTGGGGCCATATGATCCAGCAGATCCCATGGTGCTTGAAGTGTCAGTGGTAGATAGAGATGCTGTTTGGAGTCTCTGGAAGGCCCCCATAGGTGAATTGCAGCAGAGGCCTTTAGGATTTTGGAGCGAGGCTCTTCCATCATCTGCACACAACTACTCTCCCTTTGAAAAACAGCTCATGACCTGTTACTGGGCCTTAGTGGAAACTGAACACTTGACTATGAGACACCAGATCATCATGTAACCTGAGTTGCCTATCATGCCCTGGGTATTATCTGATCCACCAAGTCATAAAGTTGGACATGCACAGCAACAGTCTATCATTAAATGGAAATGGTATATTCGTGATCTAGCCAGGGCAGGCCCAGAGGGTACAAGTAAACCACATGAGGAAGTTGCCCAGATGCCTATGGCTCTTACACCTACTGTACTGCCTTCTGTTTCCCAGCATGCACCTATGGCCTTGTGGGGTGTGCCATATGATGAGCTATCAGAAGAGGCGAAGGCTAGGGCCTGGTTTATGGATGGCTCTGCATGCTATGCAGGCACCACCCGCAAGTGGACAGCTGCAGCATTACAGCTCCTTTCTGGGACATCCCTGAAGGACAGTAGTGAAGGGAAATCTTCACAGTGGGTAGAACTTAGGGCAGTGCACTTCGCAGTACATTTCACCTGGAGGAAGAAGTGGCCAGATGTGCGACTGTACACTGCCTCAAAGGCCATAGCAAATGGTCTGGCAGGATGGTCAGGAGCTTGGAAGGAACATAATTGGAAAATCTGTGACAAAGATATTTGGGGAAGAGGTATGTGGATAGACCTCTCCACGTGGGCAAAGGATGTCAAAATATTTGTTTCCCGTGTAAATGCTCACCAAAAGGTGACATCAGCAGAAGAGGACTTCAATAATCAAGCGGATAAGAGACCTGGTCTGTGGATAGTGGCCAGCCTCCTTCTTCAGCCATCCTTGTCATTGCCCGATGGGCTTATGAACAGAGTGGTCATGGTGGCAGGAATGGAGGTTATACATGGGCTCAGCAACATGGACTCCCACTCAACAAGGCTGATCTGGCTACAGCCACTGCTGAATGCCTAACATGCCAGCAGCAGAGGCCAACACTGAGTCCCTGGTATGGCACCATTCCCCGTGGTGATCAACCTGCAAGCTGGTGGCAGTTTGATTATATTGGACCACTTCCATCATGGAAGGGACTATACTTTGTCCTCACTGGTATAGACACATATTCTGGATATGGATTTGCCTTTGCTTATGTAATGCTTCTGCCAAAACTACCATCTGTGGACTCACAGAATACCTTATCCACTGTCATGGGATTCCACATAGCATTGCCTCTGACCAAGGAACACATTTTACAGCCAAAGAAGTGAGGAAATGGGCCCATGCTCATGGACTTCACTGGTCTTATCATGTTGTTCACCATTCAGAAGCAGCTGGATTAATTGAAAGATGGAATGGTCTTTTGAAGACACAATTACAGTGCTAGCTAGGTGGCAATAGCTTGCAGGGCTGGGGTAAGGTGCTTCAAAAGGCTGTATATGCTTTGAATCAGCATCCACTATATGGCACTGTGTCTCCCATTGGCAGGATTCATGGGTCCAGGAATCAAGGGGTGATAGTAGGAATGGTACCACTCACCATTACCCCTAGTGATCCACTAGAAAAATTTTTGCTTCCTGTCCCCACGACCTTACTTTCTGCTGGCTTAGAAGTCTTAGTTCCCGGCGGGGGGGGGGGGTGTTACACTAGGAGGCACAGCAATGATACCATCGAACTGGAAGCTAAGATTTCCCCCTGGTCATTTTGGTCTCCTCATGCCTTTGAGGAAACAAGTTAAAAAGGAAATCATAGCATTGTCAGCGGTGATTGACGCAGACTATCAGGGGGAAACTGGACTACTACTCCACAATGGAGGAAAAAAAGAATACACATGGAGTGCAGGAGATCCCGTAGGGCGCCTCTTAATATTACCTTGCCCTATTATTAAAGTCAATGGAAAACTACAACAACCTAATACAGGCACAATGACAAATGCTCCAGAGCCTTCAGGAATGAAGGTGTGGGTCACTCCACCAGGAAAAGAACCAAGACCTGCTGAGGTGCTTGCTGAAGGTCAAGGGAATACAGAATGGGTAGAGGAAGAATGTATTTCTAAATACCAGCTATGACCCCATGACCAGCTAAAGAAAAGAGGATTATAATGGTACTCTTTCTCCCCTATATTGTGTTAATGTAACATGACATTGATAAACTTAATTCTGGTTCTTCAGGATTGTTAAACCTGTGTCATAATGTTCAAATTATGAAATTATAAGTGTAAACATCAACCAAAGAAAATTTACATTCTATTTGGGTAAGAGGATTATTGCGTTTCTGTGTGTACGATGGATAGATATAACATGTTAGGTGCAATTATATACATGTCTTTGACTGGGGATTGGTTTAAGGAAATGTGTCTGGTTGCCAAGTTGACAAGGGATTGATTGTAGTGGTTGATTGATTATGTCAACTTGAGAAGTTTAGAAGCATAACTAAACTTGGCTCAGCATTTGGATCAGCAATTCTGCACCCTAAGGTGTAGAGGAGCCACCCTAGGTTGGATCATCACCTAGATAATATAAAAGGGAGATGAAGAAGGACAGAGGAACTTCCATTCCTTTTGGAGGAGCTCCAGTCTTCACGTTCAGCTTAGACTTCATCCCCTGGTTTCTAGTACACACTCTTCCACCTTGGATCCTTCAGCCTTCCATCATAGACTCATCAGCCTCCTGGTACAGACTTTTACAGAACTCTGCAGTGAACTCCAGACCCTGGCCTGATTCCTTTGGTCTTCAGTGTGCAGACACCCTCTGCACGCTTCCTCATACAACTCTCTGGCTGACTGTCATAAGCCAACCTTGTAATTTCTTATACATTTGTACATCTTGTGTTATATCTGTTTCTCCAGTAAAACCCTGAGTAATACATACATATTATATTTCTGTCTAGCAAAACTCACAAAATAATTAAGTAAAATTTCTCAAGACTGATCATTGGATTCAATGACGCTTGTTTGTGAAACGACAGTTATTTTAATATTTACATGAATGAACACATGAGACATAACAGTCAAATCAATTTTAATAAAAACTTGAAAGTTAGATCTTCATATTTGATAAGCTCAATAATTTGAAAGGTGCAAGGATTCTCTAATACATGATGGGAAAAAGCCCAAAATATGCGCCAGGCATGGAGGCACAGGCCTGTAATCCCAGCACTCAGGAGGCTGAGGCAGGATGATCGTTGAGAGTTGGAGACATGTTAGGCTACAAAGTGAGCTCAAGCCCATCCTGAACTGCATAGAAAGACCCTGTCTCAAAAGGACAAAAACAAACAAACAAACACCATATGCATTATGTGTGCATGGATATAAATTTTAGAAGACAGATTTTACATAACAGATTATCGGGAAAATATTTTTCCAAAGTACAGGCACAATTTAAATGAAATAATTTCAGTTAGTCATAAAAAGTAGAAACTATGGAAAAGTTGCAAGTAAACAGAATATAACATCCATGAAATCTATGTAATATTTCTTAAACCTGCATAGGAAAATACAAGAATCCAAACAGAAAATGTAATAAAGAGAAAATATGGAATACAGTGGTTCATTATACTTAAATATGAATGAGGGATATTTAGTGTAAGTATAAACTTGTTCCTTTGTTTGTGTGAAGATCTGTTATGGATCACACAATGTAAACACATTATTTACTATCAACCATAGTAAAAGCTATTGGAAAATACTGGACATTCAATAAGTTTTCTAGAAAAACCATTAATTTATATTACAAAAATTAAAAACATACAGATATTTTCTTAAATATAATGCCCAAAATTAATTTCACATATATTATGAATTTAAATAAAAGCAAAACTCGACATTTAAATATAAAATGGATGAGAAACTTCAGCGTAAAAGAAGCATAAGCTCTTTTGGAAAAGGATTAATACAATTAAAATAATATTGTTAGTTTATAAAAGATAAAAAATAAAAGGATAAAAATGAGCCAGAAACATTTTATTAATAAATCATATAATTAATAAAGATTAAAATCCAAAGAAATAATACATATAGGTATATGTATATATATTTATAGAAAAGTGTAAACACTAAGCAGTGTAAATATGTGACTGCAAACTGATACAACCACAAAGGAAATTAGTATTGAAATTCATCAAAAAACTAACAGAAATTCCATTTGACACAGATATCCTTCTAGAGATCTTTCCACAAGTGTTAAATACATCATACCATATGGCCTTTACATTCCCATATTTGTAGGAGTGCAATTCATAATAGCTAAATCTTATAAACACCCTATATGTATATCAACAGAGGAATGGATTAAAACTTGTTATTTATACACAATAGAGTGCTACTCTACCATAAACTTGAATCATTTGTAGAAAAACAGATGCATCTTGAGACCACAATCTTAAGTGAAGTAACTCATGTTTAAGTATTTCAAGGTTTCTTTTATATAAAAACTCAATATATATATAAACAAATGTATATTCAAATACATATGAAATGAACTAAAAGACAAATAATAGGAAATAACAGAAAGAAATAAAAGGTATTGTAATACAGTGCAGACAATGTATCTAGACATATACCATGACTTGGTACAATGTTCTTACATGGTTTATATGTTCTAAAGCCTGTTAGTCTGGTTTTTAATCTGGATACATGATCGTTAATGTTACAACATCTTGTAAGATTAATGAATAAATCTAATGCTGAAAAAATAAAAGGGGGTGGAAGGAATGAGGAAGAAGGGAATTGAAATGTATCATGTACATATACCAATCCCGTACAGTGAATGTAATCATTCTGTATTGAAAATATATACCAAAGAGAAAAAAATCTAAAACTAACATATTGGGCTAATATTGGTAGAATACTGGGAAACAAACATAAACAGAATATTTAAAAAATGAAACACCAACATCATAGGTGAATCACCTAAAATAATATTAAGCAAATAAATTCAGATACAGAACAATATAAACTGCATGATTTCATTTATATAAAGTTTAAAAACAGACAAACTACATAATACAGTGTTTACCCATACATGCAAGTGTGGCAAATTCAGTAGGAAAACAAAGAAACCACAAATAGAAAATTTAGGAGAATGATATCATTGAATTTTCAAAGAGAAATTTAATTCCAAAGAATAAGTAGGAATCTTCAATGGCTTTATAAAGTTATTCTGAATAAACAGTTTTTACTTTAGTATGATTTAAAATTTATATAAGGATATAATAATGTTATATATACATACCATATGATATATCTCATGCATTTGTAACATCTCCATATATATATATATATATATATATATACACACACACACACACATACAATATTGGAGATAAATATAGACTAGAAATCCCCCTAATCCTTTCTACAAATAATTTATCATTTGAGTAATAAAACTTCCACTGTTAAAGAATGGTGTATCTAGCCACACAGGGAAAAGTAAAGCACTGTCTTTTTATAACCCAGGAGTTCTTTGAAAGCCTTACAGTACAGTTTAAAGGAGTGTTCATGGTCCTGTGAAATGAGGGAGATGTTTTAGGTCAGGATTATCTTAGAATTACTTTCTTTATGAAACATAATAATACAATAAAACTCTTCCCATATATACAAGGCAGCTGAGATAATATGGCA